TACAACACACAAACAGCCTTTGATGACGCCGAGACTTGTGATTGCAACCCACGCACCCGGCCACTTTGACTCGCACGCACATTGACGCTGATTGGTAAAGACTCGAGACTCGAAGAATTGCTTTCTGACGACCACAAACATACTCACGACTGCACTGGGAGCTGCATTTGCGACGGAGCCAATGTGACTTTACTGGAAAATTTGCAATTCAGAGAAAAGTGCGGAGACGTGACGGGGATCGAATGGAGGATCAAGAGCTGGACAACGCTTGCGGACGAGAAAGCAAGTCAGCAGCTCGAGCCAGTCGTTGGTCGAAGCACTTGCACCACGCCATCGATTCGTGACCGAGGCTGAAAGCGCAGCCATGTCTTTTGAAGGTGCACCACCAGCACCAGCACATGCACACGCAACCTCGTCCAACTGGGCAAGCACGCATATATCCCTCGAACCCATTCCCTGGGGTCCTCTGTCCCGAGACAGATCCTCCATCTTGCGTGATGCGCCTCGCTTGAGGGATGTCGCGTCTGCAGCGCAGGAGACCGATGAGCTTTTGCGGGGTGGGCAAGATGAGGAGGAGGAAGAGGGGGCAGGGGAGGATGGAGCGTTGCTGAGAGACACGAGCGCGGCACAGGCGGCTGTGCAGAGGGATGGGCTGATTTGGGATTTGTAAGTGGACAGTGCCTAGAAGCAAAGTCCGGCCTTGTTTCATCTTGCGCGCTCAAGACCCGCAACCTCCCCCCCTCGCACCCCCACACACACACACACACTTTCTCTCTCCTTTGACGCGCCCTTGCTAAACAGCTCGTCCCACCAAGCACCACTGTCGGACCGGGTCGCTCAATTGTGGGCCGCCAGAGGAGCCTTTGATAAGTTGGATGTGGGAGAGCTAAGGAAGAAAGTGCACAAGCAGGATAAGCGCAAACGGAGAAGACTACTCAGGGCTGCTCAAAAGGCGGGAAATACAGTGGTGGATGAGGACGATGATGGTGATGAAGACGACGAGAAGTCGAAGCAGGAGAAAGACTGGGGAATCCCGCCGGAGCAAGAGGATGAGAAGGAGGGAGATGGACTTTTACATTCACGTACAGATGAAGATCAGAAGGATCACGCTGCTGGAACTGCACAGAGCAAAGAAAGACAGCAGAAAACGTTAGATCCGCAGCAAGTGCAGAACCTCAAGGGTCCAATGTTGGCGGAGCTCAAGTGAGTCTGATCGAGTCTAATCTGCACGACGTGCCGATCCATTGGCACCTCTTCTGAAGCTTTCGCTTACCCGCACACGTCATCCGTTGCACGCCACCCACACACACCCTCGCTCGCTCGCTCGCTCTTCAAAACCTCGCTTGCGTCGCACTACCAAAAAGTTACGCACAAGAATCAATTTATTCTGCCCACTGCGCAGTTTCTTTAATCCTCCTCTCTCGGCCCACGCAAATTTCTTCCGGCTCTTCCTCGACAGGCCTCGGTCGTCAAGGCTCCGAAAGGGGTACACCTCTGCCCAGGGAAAGGGAAGGGACTGCCACTTCCACGCGAGCTGGCGCAGGTGCAGGAGCGGCAGCAGCAGCAGCAGCAGCGGGATGGGCTGGCAGAGGTGTTTCTGCGGCTCAACCGGGCACCGCGATGGCTCTGTTCGAAGAGACGGGACTTGAGGCGGAACACGTATCTGTTGAGCTGCTTGGATCTTTCCAACCTGATGCTTCTGCACAGGCCGAGGACGCATCGGAAGGCTCCGTTTATAGCTCCTCGGACGAGGGAGCTGAGAGAAGTGGTCAGAACAAGGACAGAAAAGGCGTCCTTGGCAAGAAGAAGGAGAGAGGCGCAGAAGAGCAGGAAGGTGAAGAGGCGGATAGTTTGTATTCAGCCAAGAGGAACGCGAGATATCTTCGCGAAAACGATGACAAGCTTTCAAAGGAGCAGATGGAAGATCGAACGAAATCTCTAGTCATTTCTGCGCAAGCTGCTCGAGATGGGATATTGGGCGCCATTGGGGTTTTGCGACGAGGAGCACGAGAATTGGATCAAGTGTGCGCTCAAAAAGCATCGCCGACGTCAGGATCCACTCTAACCAAAGGCCTGGGCGAGGGATCAAATGTGCGAGAAGAAGGTTCAGGAGCTACGTATGCTGATCGACGTGGAACACTGAGCGCTGCAGAGAGGGAAGCGAACAGATGGGAATGCTTGGCGAGGGTTAAGAGCTGCGATTGGACCTTGAGCGGAGTGGCCAATGCGGATCTGGATGTGGTGCTGCAAGATGAAGAAGAGGCACCTGAAAGGGAGGGGCGCGCAGCCCTTACCACTCTGATTGAAGCCGACAGGAACAAGGGAGCTAGGGATGCGTGGATCGGCTGGGCTATCACTGAAGGTGAGTGCTTCCCACTCTTTCGTCTTTCTTTGCCTCGCCGTGAGCGTGGAGAAATCGCATGCCACGACATGACGGGTTGCTTCGACCGTTGCGACGCGGGAATGAAACGACTGACGAGATCGTTTTGGTACATACTCTTTCTCTTCAACCACCGCCTCGCGTACTCATGCTGTTTTACTGAATCACTGGAACTTTCGACTCGACCCTGACGCACGACATGCAGCTCATGCGGACTACAAACAGCGCTCGCTCGCAAGGGTTCATTCTGCCGAAGTGTGGAGCCCATCCGCTGAAGCTGCCGCGTCCGACGCGCAGCGCAAAGAGGAAATGAGCGAGAAGCTGGAGCAAAAGGAAGAGAGTGAGGGACGCGTGCCTGCTCCAGTGTCCTTTGTCTATCGTCCGAACAAACGCTTGCAAGTCAGCTTTGAGCTAAGCTGCACTGGTGGTAGTCTGCCCGAACAGCTCGAGGCTCGACGTCGCGATGCTGATGGGCAGGAGAAAGTGCGGAACATGCATGTGGACGGACATGGGAAAAGAAGAACGCTCTTCGTCTCTTCTGATGCGAACGTGCCTGCTCGGTGGCAGAGGTCGAAGGCTGGAGATGAAGCGAGCATGACGAGACGAGAATTGAACGAGGCTCAGCTTGAGCTTGCTGATGAGGAGCTATTTGGCAATGTGAGTGCACACTGCGGATGGTCGAGCTTGCGCTGCGTTACCTCTTCACCATTGCTCGTACGGCGCGCCGTGCATCCTGTCCCTTGCTGACTCTTGTCGAATGCTCGGCCGGTCTACTGGGCGCGTCGCGACGCCTTAGCTCGTCAGCGAAGCTCGCGCACTTTCGAATAGGGGAGAAGCGCACGTCAAGATCACTACTTCTTCATTGACGATATTTGTGAGCAATCAAGTCAGCATGCTCATCGAGCTAGTGAGTTTGCGAGGACGCTTCAATCAAGCTCCTTTTCCTTCTTTTGTAGCCCACGTCCGAGATCGTCTTGCTCAGACTTTGATGATCGCAATGCTCCTCCTCAGATACCCACGCGATCTCCACAATCATTCGACAAGCCCACTTCACCGACAATGAAAGATGATGCGGCTCCGAAGGGCGACGAAGTGCAGAATATTGAACGTGTCGCTTCCGCCATGCCCGATGCGATCCTCGGCTTCTTGCGTTTGGGCCTGGTAGGCAGGTACAAGGACAGAGCCTGCGGCTCATCAGCCTTTGGCTCACGTCGGGCTTCGCAAGGCAAGATTGAGATGCTGCACCCCTTGCTGAGTGTACTAAGGCTTCTCAAGGTGAGTTCGCGTGCAGTATTGTCGCGCTCCCATGTTCCCCTTGTCGCAACGGCATTGGACCTGACAACTCTTGTCATTTGCCCATTCCTTTTTTGTGCTGTCTTTGCCTTCTTTTCCCGTCTGTCTTTATTCCTCTGGCTGTTGTGCGAAACTTGGTCCAGCTTCGAAGTGGTGTATTTGAACGCGTACAGACTCTGATGGAGAGTTTCGAAAGTCGAACGGCGAAAAGTGGTCGCGTACGATTGGAACAGAGCGCGGTCACGTTCAAATCTTTTGGGAAGAAGACTAGTAAACTGGCACGGGCTGAACGAGCAGAGGGGAGCGAAGAGGGTGGATGGGTTTCGAGAGTGTTTGGCGGAAGAGCGCTGGGTGCTTTCACGAGCTTACAGAGTCACTTGGCACTGCACGTCGATGATGAGTGAGTTTGATATGTGCCAGAACTTGGAAAGGGCCTCTGCTTGGCCCCCCCGCTTTTTTACTTTTGGCCACTTTGAGAGCTGAACAACTCTTGCCACCGCTTGTCGATTCTTGAACTCGACTATAGAATGGTCGCAGTCGTATCGACATCATTCCCGAGCAACATCACTTTGCACCTCCAATTTCCACCCGCTCCGACGCATCTACAGGCCGCTGCAGCTTCGAACAAGTCGGCCCATGATCCAAAGGACGACGAGAGGCCTGAAAGCGCGGCGCAGAGACTGGACAAGGCTTGCGATCAGGCTGGAACATGCATCGACGCGCTCGGACTCGACACGGCTCTGGAATTACTTGAGCATGAAGTTTCTCGCAGATTGCGAATTCGAGATTGAGAAATCCGAAAAAAAGTTGTCTGCTGGACGACGCTTTGTTCTTTCTTCTTGCTGATTTTGCGAGGCAAGTGGTG